CCCTCACCCCTGCAGCCTATGATGTGGGCACCACCTACCCTCTGCGCCCCTCACCCCTGCAGCCTATGATGTGGGCACCACCTACCCTCTGCGCCAGGTGCCACCATCCGGCCTAGAGCCAACTCTAGACCTGGCAGCCCAGAGAAGGCTGCGTAGCTAATTCCCACACAGGTACACCATGGTTAACTCGGCTCCCACGTAGTAATTAGCAGGCTTACCTGACTCCACCCAGGCCTCCATCTGCCTCAGCAACCCAGAGCTTTCCCCCATTCTCCCCCTCAGGATCTCAAGCTCCTCTGACTTTAGTCCAGTCTTCAAAGACCAGGCCTTTGCTATGTCTCCTCTCAAGTTAGGGACATCCGAGGCACTCTGCCCACGTTCCACCATCCTGGGGCCCAGCACCCACACAGCTGGCCTCCTTCTATAGGTCAGCAAACCTCAGAGCCCAAGGCACACCTGCCTGAAGGTAAGGAAGAAGTCACCTGGCCTGTCCCCCCAGGATGCCCACTGCCTGACCTGGATAGCTGGAAACAACTCCCCCCCCCACCGCCTCTCTCTCCTCCCTCCCTCCCCTGAACACACCCCATGTGACAGAGATGGTGAGAAAGGCCCTGGTATGCTTGGGGCAGAGTTGGGGGCAGCGTGGAGAAGTACCCGCCAGCAAATGTCAGCTGGCGCTCACCCAGGCCACTCTGGGGCCCAGGGGATAGCCAAACAGGTCAGACAGGGTCAGCTCCTCCTCCTGTGCCAGCCTCCAGCCTACCTATGATATAGGACAACCCAACTTGCCCAGACCTCCCCCTCTTCCCTGACCCCTGTGAGAAGGACCACAGGGTCCCAAAACTGATTCACTGAGCTTCTGGGTCCCAAGCTAAAGAGCATGCCTGTTTCTTCTCCCTACTTGGAAAGTCCCAAGATTTAACGCTGACACTGTGTGTCTCTGGCTCATGGACTCGGGAAGTGGCGTTCCCATGACCTCAGGGTCACCGCACTCTAATTCCCTTGCAGTGACACCAGCCCTGACCTGAAGTCCCAGGAGAGAAAGCTAGACCTTAAGCCTGATACGGGACAACAGGGTCCTCACTGAAGTGGTGCCCATTCCTCAGTCTCCACAGAGGAAGGCTCACCACAAGTACCTGCGCCCAGCTGCAGACCCCTGGTACTCACTGGTCTCACAGTGGGTGCCCGAGTAGCCCAGAGGGCATTCGCAGATGTACTGAGTGAAGATGTCTCCTCGCTGTTTGTCCCCGGTCACTTGGCACAGGCCACCACTGAGGCAAGGGTTTGGAAAGCAGGGTCCTGGGAGCAAGAAGGTAGATGAGATGGAGACGTGGTCAGAAATGGGCTGAAGACAGACCAAAAAGCAGTATGTGACCCAGCCTCATCGGATCCCTCCAAATCAGCCCCTTTTCTTCCCGACCCCAATCATCCCAAGAGAGTCGCCGAGAAGATGAATTTGCCCAAATACTGTAACACAGGCTACCCACTTGGGAAGGGACGGGGGAGGCAGGCCACTGGGAGCAGGTACCTGTCTCCTTCTCTTCGCACACAGAGCCTGTGAAGCCCTCGGGGCAGATGCAGAAGATGTCATTGTCTTGGCCCATCAAGCAGGTCCCACCATTCAGGCACTGGCCGGAGTCACAGAAGTCACCTGCAACAGCAGTCCGATCACGATCGTTTGGTGAACGGAGTCCAGCTACCACGTGCACTCGCTGGACTCCTGAGACAGGAGTTAGCGGTTATCCTATCTATCCTCAAGAAGTCGGGAGCTAGGGATGTAACTCCACGGCAGAGCACTTGCCTAGCATGTGCAAGGCCCTGGGTTCGATCCCCAGCACTACCAAAAAAAAAAAAAAGAAAAGAAAAGAAAACACTGGCTAGAGAAATAGCTGGGGTTAAGAGCACTTGCTGATTTTTCTGGAGGACTGGGATTTGAATCCCAGCATCCACATTAGGTCGCTGACAACTGCATGCAGCTCCAGCTCCAGGGGATCCAAACCCCGTGGCCTTCTCAGACACCTGTACTCACATGCACATATCCCCCCAGAGACAGTGTACACAATTTTAAAAATAAATAAATCTTGCCGGGCGGTGGTGGCGCACGCCTTTAATCCCAGCACTCGGGAGGCAGAGCCAGGCGGATCTCTGTGAGTTCGAGGCCATCCTGGGCTACCAAGTGAGTTCCAGGAAAGGCGCAAAGCTACACAGAGAAACCCTGTCTCGAAAAACCAAAAAAATAAAAAATAAAAAATAAATAAATAAATAAATAAATAAATAAATAAATAAATAAATCTTAAAAACTAAAGGGGAGCTCAGAGAGATGGCTGAGAGATTAAGAGCACGTTCTGCTCTGGCAGAAAACCCTGCTTCAGTTCCCAGCCCCCACGTGGTGGCTTCCGATCACCTATCACTTCTGTTTCAGGGGATCTGATGTTCTCTTCTGACCTCGGAGGGCTCCCGCCGGCAAGTGGTGCACACAGAATACACTCACGCTCTCCACACACTCAGACAATACAGCCAGTATTTCTTTAAAGACAGAGTGGGGAGGATGGAAAGCTGAGGAAGGAGAAAATGATATTCTAGAGAGAAGTAGACACACTGAGAACACGGTATACTAGAGAGAACGGTTCCGATGTGACTGGACTTAGACCAAGCTCAGAGGGACTTTAAGAATGGCAAGTTTCGATCATAGACTGCCGCGGTCAGTCAGGAGCTTTTAAAAACTTCCTTAAGCCTCACCGGCACTGGCTAACAAGTCTCTCTATGTGTCTCTCTCTGTCTCTGTCTCTCTGTCTGCGACCCCACACACCCTCTGAAGCCAGATCCAAGTCTGAAAGGTGGAAGGCTGAAAACCCCAGGAGAAGGCTGACAGGCCCCTGAAGTTAGGAGGAGGTCTGGTGGCAGCAGATGAAGCCCTCAGGTTGAACAGTGAGGATGCACATCAGGACACCAGGAACAGGAGCTGGTGAATTTGAGAGACTCCATGGAGCATGGACTGAGGAGGTGGGGAAAGGCTGGAGGAGACACCAGAGCTTTTGGAGGGCCTGCACGACAGATGTGCACTGTCCACCAGGATGGAGGACACAGGAGGAGGGATGGGGTGGGCTGGGGCTGAGCTCACCTGGCCTGTGTGATCTGAAGGACTATACACAGCTCAGCCAAGCAGCTGGTAAACCCACCCCCTCTCCACGCCCAGAAAGGGACTGGAGGCACCCTGCCTCGGAAGCTCACCTTCCCCCCCATCTTTCTGGGGTCCCCCGTCACTGGCACCAACCAGTGAACAACAGCCCCCAGGTCTGCTGTACTGAAGAGGGTCCTCCGCATGACCTTAGCATCCTACTGGACTGGACCCTTAACGTGGCCCTAGAATCGAACCTAAGAGATCTCTTCTCCTCCCCACAGTGGCCCATCCAAGGCACAGGGGCCCTCCTCAAAGCCCAAGGGAGGAGCTCAGGCTCCCCAGCTGGAGGCAGGCAGCACCATTAATGAGCAGCAGCTCACATAGCTCCACCTCAGCAAGGGCCTGGGGATCCTAAGGAGCTGTGGCAGAACTATTAGTCACAGGCTTTAAATAGCAGGTTAATCCCCTCTGACCTGGAAGGGCACAGTCATAGCCTCACGTGGAGGCTCTGGAATGGGCAAGGCCTGGGCACCCGGTCCCAACAAAGGCCTCTCTTCCAGCCAGCCTTCCCTCCAGCTGCAGGTGGGATCAAACTAAGGGTCTGGAGAAGAAAACTAAGTGGAAGGTGGCCCAGCAGCCCTCGGTCTTAACCGTCTGGGCTGAGGCTGGTCACCTGCATGTGAGACCCCGAGATGCTAGCGCCTCTGCAAATCCTATAGGATATCGGGGTACTGCTCTGGGAAGTGTCCTTTGGGACATTTGGTCAGGGCTTCGGTTGTGGGGAGTGTGGGAAGAGAGGTGGAAAGGGTCAGAGGAGATCCAAGCATCTCTCCAGCTGAATGGAAGGACCAGGAGTTCCCAGTTGCGGAAGCTTGAGGCACTCAATGCCTTCAGCTCCATCCCCGAGGTCAGGTCCTGTGCTAGGCGACAGAGCTGGGCCCAGCTGTGGTCTCTCCTGCCACACGTGGGCACTGCATTCTTAAGATGAACTCCCCAGCAGCATCCTGCAGGAGGCCCAGATGTCTACCGGGGACCTCCGAGAGGGGGAGGAGGGCTAGGGAAGATTAAACAGGCAGCCAAGGCCAGCCGGGTGGGAGGAAGCCCTTTTCTAAATTCCTGACCAGCCCCACCTACAGCCCAGTCTCTCGCACCCGCTTCTCAGTCCTTTCTCCCCTTCTCAGATCAAACACCAACAAGTGGGGCGCAAAAGTTCACTGGATTCTCCAACCAGGAGGGTTCGGGAGAGAGCTGCAGGGAAAGTTGGTCGAAGGGTCGGTACCGGAGTCCTGACTCTCCCAAATGGAAGGACTGGAGAGCAAACACAGTTCGGTGGCCTCATTTTACCGACGCGGTAAAAAGAGGCACGGCGCAGCGGATTCCTTTGTTATGTGTAAGTCACATCCCTGCGGGGAGGCAGGGCTGTCACCGGGTGTCCAGGGTCACCGCCCAGTGCGCAAGCCACTATCACTGCCCCCAAGGTCCCGGCGCAAAGCGCGCCGAGGCTGAGCACGTCCGCCGCTCCTCCCGCGGCGCAGCCCCCGCGCGGGTCCCCTAGGCTCTGCTCAAGTTTGTCAACAGTAAAGGAGGAGGGAGGGCGCCGCCGAGAACTTCCGAGCGGCGGGCAGACTAGGGGCGAGGCTCAAAGGGCGGCGCGGGGGACTCACCGGACACGGCAAGGAGGCCGGAGGCGCAGAGCAACACGCCGCACAGCGCGGCCAGCGCACGGGAGAGCTGCATGCTGCAGGACGCGGGAAAGGATCCGCACACTGATGCCGGGACCCGCGGGCTCCTGCGTCCGCTTCTCTCGCACGGGAATAAATCAGGCTCTCGGCTCCGCCCACTGGCCCACGTGCTCCGCCCAGGCCAGCCCCAGGCGGACTCTGGGCGGAGCTCCGGGACCACAGAGGGAAGAGGGAGGGCTGAAGTAGGGGTCCAAAGCCTCAGCCTCCCGCCGAGCCACGCCCTGCATCCGGCTGCCAGCTCTCAGCCAAGAGGCCAGGTCCCGCTTCTGGAGTGGACTGGACAGGGAAAAATTGCTCAGGAGGAATTTAAAACGTGGCGCAATGATGGAATAGTGCTTCCCTAAGCATCCTGGAGACCCTGGATTCGATCCCCCAAGCAGGCAAGATAAATTAATAAAACAAAACAATCCGGGAGTGGTGGCTCATGCTTGTAATTCCAGTATTTGGGAAGCGGGATCAGGAGGATCGGACACCAGGTCCTGTTGGACGCCAGTGTGGGCTCCATAAAGGCATGTTCCAGGTTAGTCTGGGCTACAGAGTGGGACCCTGTTTCCAAAATGTATTTGTTTGTTCGTTGTTTAATTAGTTAATTAAAAAACAAAAGCAGTTTAGACTTAAAATGCTAATGCTTACTTGTAATCAGAGAACAGCAAGTTCAGACTACAATGAGTACTGTGTTTCCTTTATCAGATTGGCAAGTGTCAAGTTGTTAACAGCGGAGGCTGTGGGGCAACAAACAGGCTGAGGCATGCGCCCTTGGACAGAGTAGAAAAGGCAGCTCAGCTTCTTTATTTGGTAATATCTTTCAAAATGTCAAATGGCAACACCTTAAGACTAGCACTTGAGGTCAGAGATACTCATTCCATTAGCAACACATGTGTGCAAAATGATCCTACACTATGACATCATAACATCTTTAGAAACCGTGAAAAGACTGAAAAAAGGAATCGACAAGCTTGTGTTCAAGTTCCAAATGGGAAATATTGCAGGATTTCGGCTGGGTGTGGTGGTTCAAGCCTGTAATGCCAGCACTCTGGAAGCTGAGACAGGAGAACTGTAGAAAGTCCAAGGGCCAGCTTGGACTGCATAGTGAGCCCTCAGCTACCCTGAGCAACAGAGTGAGACGCTGTCTCAAAATAAACCAATAGACAGACAGACAGATGATGTTAAATAAGTAAAGATAAAAACCTGGCTGAGAAGATGGCTCTGTGAATAAGCGCACTTGCTGAGCAAACCTGACAGCCTCAGTTCACTCCCCCAGAGACCCCCGGGAAAGCAGACAGAAGCAGAGAGCCCGACTCCGCAAAGCTGTCTTCACACCCACACAGTGGCACGTGTGTGCCCACACACCTACACGCACTGATGATGATAATAATAATACAGTAAAGTTTAACCAAGTTTCTCGCCTGTAATCCCTCCACTTGGGAGGTGGAGAAAATGGGACCAGGAGTTCAAAACCATAACCAATTAAAATGCAGAGCTGTGGAGCCCAGTCCTAATGGATACAACACTAAGACACTCCCACACCTAAGGCTCGGGGAACATTTTAGAAGAGGGAGTGGAAAGATGGTCAGAGCCTAAAGATTGGGGAGTTTGCTGTGAGACTGTGTCGCCTAGGAATGTCAGAAACTACACCCATAACAATCTCACCAATATGACTGCCTAAACATGAGCCGAACAAGACCACCAATAGACATGACAAAGTGGCCCATGAGGCTTCAACCCTTCACAAAGAACTACAGGAAACTGAGAAACGCTGGGGTGGGAGAACCAGTCATCTCCAAGGAAGAACACAGCAATTGGTTATCCAATATGATCAGCCCTGAAAACATACACATGAGTAACATACAGACTGGGCAGGTAATAGCTAGGGATAAAGACACAGACAGACACACACACAGGCATGTAACAGCAATTAATGAAAAAAGAGACCACGGTTTTGAAAAAGAACAAGGAGGGATAAATAAGGAAGTTTGGAGAGAGGAAAGGGACCAGAGAAAGTTTATGATTATATTATAATTCCCCCAAAGGGGAACTATACATCAAAAAATGCATTTTGCTGCATGCAAATTTAAAGCAATATTAATATTACATGGAAAATGTAAACTAGAGAGAGAACAGGAACTCAACATCAATGCAGACTGCTTAGGACTGAGAGTCCAAACCCGGTTCAGTGCTGAGCACAAAAGGTTACAGGGTGGATATCATAAAGCCATCAAAAAGATGCCTTACTGGGACACAAAAAATAAATGACTCTTCAACTGGTAAAGGAGGAGGAGGAAGAAGAAGATGAAGGAGGAGGAGGACGAGGAAGGGGGAGAGCCTGGAGAGGTGGCTCCACTGTTACCAGCATTGGTTGCTCTTGCCGAGGACCAGGGTTCAAATCCCAGCACCCACAAGGAGGTTCACAACCATCTGTAACTCCAGTCCCAGGGGATCCCACACCATCTACTGGCCTCTGGGGGAAATGCATGTGTGTGATGCACTAACGCCCACATAAGCAAAGCAGTGATGCACATAAAATAAAAATAAACCTTTAAAAATAAAAGTCCTGCTCCGAAGGGACAAAACAACTCCCCGGGCAAAGGAAAAGCATCAGTGGTAGTCAACAACAGTCCATGACGAAGCGCTCGGCACACTGAGGGTAAAGGAAACTTCCTCAAAGGTCCTAGAAGCCTATAAACAAACAGCTGATACCATCACCAAGTGGGTAAGGCCAGGAACCAAACAAGGATTTCTGCCCGCCACTTCCTCCAAAGTGATACAAGAGATGGGAACCTGGACAATCAGGTCAGAACCAGGTAATATATCCAGGTAGAAAAGAAGGAAGTAAAATGACCACTATGGCTATTCACAGATCACGTGATCATGTATGGAGCAAATTCAGAAGAATCCACGCACAAAAAGTAACTATGAAAGCTGGTGGATGTGGTGAGCAAGGCTCCAGGACACAAGATTACTATGCACAATCTCTCTTTTTAAATTATACTTTCTTTCCTTATTTGTTTATTTGGGAGAAGGGACACCCTCATGCCATAGCATACTTGCTGAGGTCTGAGGACAACCTTGAAAACATTACTCTCAGTGAGAAAATCCAGCCACAAAGCCTCAGTGGGCACAGACCTATGATCCTGCAAGGCTGGAGAAAATGGATCAGAAAAATAAATATAAATAAATAAATAAATAAATAGCCCAGCAACCATATGGTGGCTCACAATCAATCTCCTGTCACCCATACTGGGGTGGGTTTGGTAATATCTTTGAGTCATTTCTGCTACTGTAAGTAATCTCTCACCCACACTCCTGTAAGTAACCCTGATAAAGCTCATTGGTTCACCAGCTGGACTTGGTCATATCTGTACTTTGGTCTGTCGTGAGTTCCTATCTGGAGTGAGTAGATGTATGTGTTGCCTCTCCCCAGGAAAAGTCTTGTCACACAACAGAGTATTAGAAGCCCCTGAAATGTACATTGTACAAGGTTAAATACCATATGAATTATATTTTAATAAAAATATCTATAGTTCTTGGCTGGTCCTGGTGGCGCAAGCCTACCATTTCTGTTGCTTCAGAGCCTGAGGCAGATTAAAAGTTCAAAACTTGGTCTGGTGGTGGTACACACCTTTAATCCCAGCACTCAGGCAGGCAGAGGCAGGCAGATCTCTGAGTTCGAGGCCATCCTGGTCTACAGAGTGAGTTCCAGGACAGCAAGGGATACACAGAGAACCCGTGTCTTGGAAAAGAGAGAGAGAGAGAGAGGAGGAAGGAAG